GTTGCATGCATTTCCGGAGCTCTTTTCAACTGGTTTTAATCAACGTAGCAGCTTGGGACACAGTAAACACTTTGTGGGGAAAGGAGGGAGCTAGAAAGAACGTAATGCATTTATGCTTTATTCTTACACTATGTAAAAGACATGTTTCAAAAATAAACCCTGTACATTAATCGCTTTTAGATCAGCTGAGTGGGGAAAAAACCAGACTACTTCAGGGTTAATATTGATGCGTGTTGTTTAGGGTGTATTCTTTTGCAGGTGATTTTTGTAAAATCAGCGGCCTGCATTGTCAGAATACCAGTCCTCTTATAAGTATAGCCACTCTTAACAGTAATGTTTTTATTTTTAATGTTCACAGTTGGGCACTTTAAGTAACGATGGATAGAAAGCGTGTAAGAAACCGTAGGGATATTTATATGTGTGCAGGACTTCAATGCTATATTTTAAGAGGGAAATAAAATGATATGGAAGCCTAAATTTAGTCTTGTGATTTTATAAGGTGGAAATGTAAAGGCAGTAGTTGGATTTAAAAACGCTCTTCTAAACACAGAGATTTGTTAGAGCAGAGTTGTAGTTGAAGTCTGACAACTGTTTTCTCACCAAGACCAAAATGTGTCTTTCCTCATTCACTTCCTCCCTTTTGATGTTGTTGCTATATCCCCTCTATGGATTCAGGAAGAAATTTGGCTTAGCATTTCCCTCTCTCCCCAGGAGTCACCACGTAACAGAAATGTTTATAACATTGAGATCTGTATCTACTGCGGTTGTCTTACAGAAATTTAAAATATCTTAACTTCTTCTGCAAAGTCATGAATTGTTTATTAACACTAGTTCTGAATTTCCAGCCAGACACACTCTGTGTTTATAGGCCCAATATGATTCCTCTCATTTTGTGAACAGTTTAAGCAATACTTTGTTCTAAGTGATTAGACTTACACTTAGACAAGGGCCATAAGACATACTTCAGGTACATCCATGTCAAATAAAAGCAGAGTCAGACCAGTGCAGAAGGAGTGCAAGGGAGGAAGGGCTCCTAACCAAACTCCAGAAGTTACCCTTGATTTGCATTTGTAAAATTAACAAATCTTTTTTTAACTGTCAGCAGGTTTACAGCATAGGAGGAGAACTTCAATATACCTGCTCAAGGCAATTGATTATTTACTGAACTACACTCTGAATCATGAAAGTGGATTGGAAATTGGGTTTAAACCCATCTGAAAATCTGTTTTTTAAGAGGCAGTTTGAGAGTCATCTTTGAGAACTGTCACTCTTTATTTTAAAATAATATGTAAACTGTAGTGCATCGTGTGGTTTTGAAGTAAGTGTGACTGTGAACTGTCTGTTTAGTTGTAGGTAGAAGGGTGATGCTTCTTTTAGTTTCATTTTGATGGTCAACATCATCATGTAAGAATACACAATGTCTTGTAGCCTTTTGGCTCCCCCAGCTTTGGAGCAGCATTGTAGGCATTCTAGTGAAGAGGTGTGAAAGTTCATCTGCCTGCATGATTCCTGCATGAACTCACTTCAGTGACATATTGCTCATGCAGGATTACATTTCAGTTGAGGACACACATCCCTGACATCATGTAACAAAAATATTTAAATCAAGGAAAATCAGCTCTGGGTTGTTAGAACTGAGCTCTAAGTCTGGGAGGCACGAGGCCCTGTCTCTGTATGGTTTTGTTTAGTAGTCCACTAAAACAATCCAGATTAAAACCACCTCATTAGCTGAGGTGGCACTGTACAAATTAAGGTTATAGTCTTAAAAATGTCCTATTTACAGGAAGTTAAACAGGTGCTAGCTTTTTAAGCATGTCATCTGCTGCTAATGGAGCCTGATTCATGTTATACTATTCCATGTTAGTCACAGTAGGTGGAGTCAAATGTAATTACAACTGATGGGGTTCTTTTTAAGAAGCAAAGCTGGAGGTAGAGCTACACTCTGCCAAGTGGCACTTTAAAAGTTGGTCATTAAAGTCGGTGATACTCCTGCAGAATTAGGTACAACTCAAAATGAGTGAGGTTTCATGATCTGGCCTAATAAGGGAAAGTACATTTGGCTGCCCTGGAGCTGCTGGGCTGGGAGACTGCTGCTCTGAGTCATAGTCTCTCTTTGTTTCCTCTGTTGCTCAAGACTAAACTGTGCCCAGTCCAGCATATATGTCTTGACACATCCGCATAGCTATAAATTCTGCATAAGGGCTGGGAGGAGGGAGTAGCCAAGGAGGAAGCAGCTGAAGATTCCCACCCATTCCCTGTAAGCTCCTGACCTATTCCTTGCAGAGCCTGTTTGCTTCCTGGTGTTGGTACCGATGCTGGGGGGAGCTGGCAGAGGACAGGAAGAAGATTCTTCATTAACTTGCATTTCTGCAGTGTGGTGCTGGCTGGTCTGTGGCTTGAGCCTGGGTAACTTGGCTTTGAAACTCAGGTAGAAAGTGCTCAGGGTTTTAATGCTCACAATAAGAGTTAGGTTCCATCACATTACTTTTCACATATAGCTGTGCACAGTAAAAAGCAAATGTGCTGCTGAATACAAGATGCTCAAATACAAGGTGCAATTGCAGTAGCCATTTCAAAAAAATTGACTAAATGTCAAGCAGTTAATTTATTCAAGAGACAAACCATCCCCAAGTCAGTGAGAGGCACTGTTTCAGCTCATTTACAAGTAGCAAGAGGGATATGAAAAGCCTGTACACGGAAGCACAGTGAAAGCTTAAGCTATTTTCTGAGTGCACTATCTTGTCCAGCTTGTGATATTTTAAATGCCACTAGTGGCCTGTTCTCTATATTTAAACTCTCACAGCAGCAAGGCATTGTGTTTCCTATAAATATAGCATTTTGACTATTTATTTACACACAGCCAAATCATGCCCTGCCCTGAGGAAGGGGCAGTAGAAGTTACATTGCCCCCCCCAAGCATGCTGAGACAACTGTGCACTCTGGTGTCTGATTCCTCCCTTTTTCCAGGGGCAGGTACAAGCTCTTTATCTGGAATATGTTTTACCTCCAGCTTTCTGTTAGCTAACCTGTATTTGCAGACAAGCTGGAGAAGGAAAGGAGAACAAATCAAACTCCACCCAGAAGGCAGGAAAGCAGCAGAGCAGTGTGTAGAGGCAGGTCATGCCCCTGCACTCCAGCAGCAATTTTAGGCAGCCTGGGAAAGCCCTTGTATCCTGGGAAAGCTCAGTATCCTCAGGAAGGATATCTCATTGAACTTTTTAAAATGGTAGTTGAAATAATAATAATAATAAAAACTTCTGGTGGCTGGCACATGGCTGCTGAAGAGGACAAATCTCCATCAAGGTATGCTTGTGACAAGGTTTTAATTTGCTGGGTTTTCAGTCTCCCTCCTTAAAAGTGCATGTATTGATCTTTTTAAATATAGAAGGCACTGCTGCGTCCTGGACTTTAATAAGATATACAGGAACATGAGGGCAGTATGGGCTGAGACCAAAAGACTAGTTATGGGCAGTAATGTCTATGCTTTTGGTCCTGTTGCATCCAAGAAATAAAATGCAGGTGTATTAGCAAAGGAATTTAAATGCTGTGGATGTTTAATATTGTATAAATCTCCAGGTTTGTTAGAAAAGCTATCAGTACCACAATTTTTCTGACAGAAACAAATCCAGCCCTTTTGGGCCACAGGGGTAAAGGAGGCCTTTAGAAATAACTAATCTGAGCTCAGTGCTTGCTGCAAAATAGAGATTGAAGCCAGAAGTTAACCATGCAAAATATTAAATATTACCATAAAATATTAAAGCTCAACCCCCTAATTTCTCTGGATATATATAATATTGTCATTAATGACATATGAACACAATCATTTTAGCAATAGATACAATGATTTCATTGGCACTTTCACCTTCTATTCACGTGGCTAGAAGCATTCTAATGGTACAGGAGAGCCAAATGAACAAGTGTGTTTATTTTTCTCTCAAGGTAAAGCATTTGTTTAAAGATAAATGGGTGACACTGAGGTCCATTAGCCTTTGTGCTGGATAATTTGGGTTTCCAAGCTCAGTATTGTGTGTGGTGTCAGTCTCCACACCAGGAACCACGCTGTGTAACACTAGAGACCAATGTAATTGTATGCCAGCCCCTGCCACCCAAGGCAAGAGTTATTTTAAGATGGGCAAGAAGCTGGTTACAAAGCAGGGGAACATACCAATTCTCAGTCAAATACCTTTCCAGAATTTATAAATCAGCAATTTTAAAAAACAAAGAGGCTAGTTCAGTTGTTTCCTACTGGAATTTCTACTAGAATTTGCACTGCTGTCTCCAGAAGCTGGAAATCTACACCAAAGGAACAGGCCCAGCTTTAGTTTCCATATGTCCTTGCCCCAGCAAACTGATGCAAGCAGAAGTGGAGGATTTAATGTTACATTTCAGATTATAAGGAGAAAAGTGCATTTGCCACATGTGTTTCAGGAAATAGTTCCAAAGGGCACTGAGCTGTGGAGACACTTCATGTGTCAGAATTAAACATGGAATATGGGGCTCTTTATCTCCACTTCTTTACATTTGACATCTATTCAAGGAATGTGCAATGTTCTCTGACGTGTTCACAATAAATACAGAGTGGAGTTTGCACTACTGGATAACATTGTTGGAAGTCTTGATAAAAAAGCTGGAGATAGAGATGAAAATAATTAGCTTCTCCTAATGAAATATGGTACTTATTCTAGGAATGAGGTGAGCAGGCAAGAAACTGTAATAAACTTTGAAGTATTACTGCTTCTATTATATATACTTGGTGTACAGATGATCTGTCTGCAGGGCTGTTCAGCTGCCTTCACAAATAGAAAATGATTTTTAAAAATGGGGGTTTATCTGAGTTTTGAAACACTAAAAGAAATACCCTGAATTTAGCAACAAAGGGGTGTGGATCTGAGCTTGGCTTTGCTGTGTTTCTGCAGCCCCTGCCAGTGAACAGAGAAGATTTGCAAAATCATCTACATGGGTTACTTGAAGCCCTGATTTATTGCTTTTCATCTTTTGGTGAACTTTGAGTTCCCATCCACTCCTGTCTTGTCAGGAAAGCTCAGCTCCTTCCATTTGCAGAAATGAGCAGTGTCTGGAATAATTCCCTCCCTCATTTCCCACGGGGTTGGCAGGCAGATAATGTGTTTTCCACAGCCCATGTAGATCTGTGGCAAAGAACAGGAGTCATCAGCAGTCTCTCACCTCTCCAAGTGCACAGTTCAGAGTGTACAATCTGTTAGTAAGAGCCATAATTTTTAAACCAGGCGAGTTTTTCTATTTTTTTTTTTTAATAAAAATGAGATTAAACCAAGGAAAACCTAAAGCAATGTTGCCCAATGGCCAAGAATACAGCAAGTTTTACTTCCAAAGGACTGATGAAATGATGACACATACCCTTAATTAGGCATTTGACTGAAATCATATAATTTACTTTAAAACTTTGGAATTCTGTAAGCATCTGCTGATGCTGAAAGTGCACAGAAGCACTACCAAATTTCAAATTGTGTTATTTAAGTATTTAATTCAGTTTCAAATATTTGAACTGGTGGCTACCAATGCACCTTGACTAAGATTAAATCTTGTACATTAGAGGTATTTTATAATTCTTAACAGTAGTTACTTCAGTAAGCTATTCTGTGAATAAAAAAGTATCAGGACTGCAATGTAACTGTATGGATATATTAGATTACACTGAATAAAGGATATAAGGTAGGGTTGGATAACAATATCATAAACAAATATTGCTGCCTAGAAACAGCTGGCATAGACACATTAAAATATTTAAGGTACCTTTAATATTAACTACCTAGCAACAAGTCCCTGATTACTTCAAGGAAAACAGGCACTACTAGGGAAGGCAGGAATCATAGCAATTATTATTCCTATACTTCTTTTTTTCCCAGTAACAATTAGACACATAACTCTTATTATATAACATACAATTACATGCATAGGGAATCCCTGCCTTAAATAGTTGGTGCTCGACTACACTGAGAAACAATCTATGGCTGTGCAATTCCAGGATGGGGATTTGATAGAGCTGAGGAACTGGCTCTCTGCATCACTGGGGCAAGTTCCACCTCTGCCTCTGCTTTACAGTGTGACCACAACAGCTCCCTGTGCCCACACATCCCTGCTGTGGTGCTTGCAGTGAGAAGGCAGCTGTGACTGATGCCTTAAGACCCTTTCAGTTTTTTGATTTTTCTAACTTTTATAAGTAATTATAGTAGAAGTAGATTTTAGAAGTAGCTATATTATATCCCTCACTCTTTAGCACAGTAGTTTACACATTCCCCTACCCCATCACCCCATTCTGTGTTCCCCATATCAACCCTACCCCTGAATTACAGTAGAAAATGTTTAGTCTTTTGTCAAGGCAAGGCCTATGCTGTTTAGAGAACACTCATATCTTGGCCTGAACCGCAGAACATGGTCAGAAACTAGGTGACTGTGTACCCTTTGTGCTCTGAAGAAGAATGATGAAGAAAAGCCTCCAGACCCAATTCCCAGGGGGTGGGCCAGGGCAAAAGCTATGGGATGGCCAAACTTTGGATTGCTGGGGCAGTTTTATAAATTGCAACATCTCAGGCACGGAAGGGACACGTGTCTTGTAACAGATTTAAACCCTTTTCTTATCTCGTCCTCAATTAACTGCTCCGGAGGTTTTTTTCTCAGCTCCTAATAGGCATCAGCTGGTGGCCCCCAGGTGGAAATCAGAGACCTGAGGCTACTCCACATTGGAAACTTTCATCCTGCAGGAATTCTTCATCAGCTGGCAGTTTTGGAGAATTCCCGCAGTGATCTAGGGAAGCCCCAGCTCCACAGAACCAAGCACGGAGCACAGAGGTGAGTTAAGAAACACAGCCCAGGCAAATGCAGTCTAAGGGACGTTCCAGGACAAGAGAACCAGGGCAGGAGGTGTCTCACCTCCCCTCCAGCCGTGTGTTGCTCCCACAGTGATTTACAGTGCCCTGGCAGGAGGGGGCACAGCTGGGCACTGCTGTCCCCTGCACCACCATCAGGGGCCCTCGGTGTTCTCGGCAGTTCCCGAGGGCAGAGCTTCCTCCTGCGGTGTTTGTTAAACACCCAAAGGACCGTGATGGAAAATGGTTTCCTGTAATGGTTAAGGGAACTTTCTCATCTTGGGTGAGCTCATCCCAGCAGTGAGTAAACACGTTGGCAGGGTGCTTTCCTGCTGTGGTGGCAGGCTCTGGGATGTGCCTGCATTCCTGTGATTTCTTTTCAAAGCTTGTAAAAGGTGTCAGGTTAATGCAGGTTTGCAGGGTGTTGGAGGCCTTGGGTTCCTGATGTTCTAGTTATAACAAACATTGACACATCCAGTATTTTAAGAGCCAGGACACTTTGAGATTTGGCTTCCAAACTGGGTTTTGTAGAATTCTACTTGTACATGACACTCTCAAGCTTCATATAAAACCAATGAACATTTCCACTCCAGGATCTACATGAAGACAGTAATCCCCTGGCACAGGCATAAGAGCCAGTTTTACAGTTTATAAAACCCAAAGAAAGCCACTGGCTCATCTCTGCACCTCTTTATTCCATAACCACAACTCTAATCCTCATTCCAAAGCTTAACTTTACCAACAATCCTAATCCATCAATCTCTTTGCTGCCTAAAGAACCTGAGGACATTTATGTAAACGACAGAGGAAGAAAAGACTTGATTTTTGTATCAGTTCAAATGGACATTTCTAGTGTGACTCAAGCAGGTCATGTGCAGAAGGCACATCTTGGCAAAACCAAGCTCTGTCCAATTTAAAATCTAAGCCCCTGAAATTACTTGGGCTTGAGCTAAGAAACTTGTTCCTAACTAACTTGATTTGCTAAATAATGCTCCGATAAAGGCAAAACCCACTCAGTGGAAGAACTCACAGTGCCAGTGAATGGCAATTTAGTATAAATCATACAGTTTTTGAGACAGAGGAGATTCAGATTAGATACCAGAAAAATTTTTCACTGTCAGGGTGCTCAGGCACTGGAATGTGTTGCTCAGGGAGGTGGTGGGGCACTCCCTAGACAGGTTCAAGAGGAGCTGGGTGATGTGGTTTAGTGCTGGGTTGACAGTTGGACTTGATCTTAAAGGTCTCTTCCAACCTTGCTGATTCTATGATTCCGCACAGGTGCCTCAAGAAAATGGGCAATTACAGCATAATTATTAAAGCCAGCACACACTGGGTCATTTTATACCGTGACAAAGTTGCCTTTCTCAGGGCCAGCTGACACAGGTGCCAGATCGGGCCCGATGGCCCATCCCGGGCGGGCACCGACGGCCCATCCCGGCCGGTCACCGACGGCCCATCCCGGCCGGGCACCGATGGCTCATCCCGGCCGGTCACGGGCGCTCCGCAGCTCCGGGTGTGACGTCACAGCCCGGTGACGTCAGAAGGGCTGGCGGCCAGCAGAGGGCAGCAGCGCCCCGCGGATGGCGCCAAAGGCTGCGGGTTTGTAGGAAAACATGGATAGGGAATGGGAAAATCCCACCTGAGAGCAGCACAGAGAGCAGCCACACTCACTGCCTGGCACTCCTGCCCAGAGCAGGTGATGTCATATTGGTCGTATGGCACATAAGCATCATTTTCAGCTGGGTGCAGGGGTTCTTATATGGCTGAACCCCTCAAAACCTCCAAACTGCAAAATACGAGTGAGATTTAGGTAGTGCCAGCACGGTGTATCAGTGATTTTTCCTCCTACAGCCCTGGGAAGCTCTATGTGAGGTTTCTGAGGACCAGAAAAATACAAAATTTCAACCCTGCTGTTTAGCAAAGTGCCCCTTGAAGTGGAAGGTTGGACTAAAGATCTCCAGAGGTCCTTTCTGATCCCTCTACACTTCAATTTCTGAAAGACCCATCTTAAAGGAACAAGATGTTAATATCACAATGAATTATTCAGTAAACCCCTCTTTTGTCAAGGGAGCTGTTTGTCCAAGCCAGCCCAGGTCAGAATTTGTATAAGCCACTTTTTCCCTGAGTTGCAGTGGTTGCAAATTCAAAGTGACTCATGTCACCAGCAAAAGCTACCAAGGAGCCACAACAGCCTGACTCTAAAGATTGCTCCAACCTTTTTGGTGTGATAGCTGATGCAGCCTTCTCTTGAGCAAACTGGACTGTGTGAAGAGGATATGTAAAGCATAGGGTAAAAATTGGTCTGTGCATGATGGAGTACTGTCCACACAAATTAATCCTGTTATCACAATTGTTTGGGATTATTTTTCACCTAATTTCCATCTCAGGGAACTTTGCACGCTCCTCTGTGTACTTAGGAAGTATTTTAATTGCATTATTCCAAAGTGTTTCCAGTCATAAAATATGTGGGTATAGATCACATGCCTACTATTTCAGTTTACAAACTGAATTAATTGCAGTGTCAGTAGTATAATATAAAGGTATTGATTCCCAGTGCTTCCCAAATCCTTTTCCCCTAAGCATTATACAGCCGTGGTAGGATGTATTTTTTATTTTATCTTTTATAAACTGAATCCAAATACATTAAACAAAACTGACACTTCAAATTACATACTCCAACTGAGAATCAAATCTGTGACCAGAGTTGGTTTTGTTAGTGTTAAATTGCCTTTGCCTTTGGATGCTGTGTTTGATTAAGAGTAGGGCAGTAGCATCTATTTTTAAGATTGTTAGCAAATTTAACTAGAGTCTGTGTTTATCTTTTTCTCTGTAATTAACATTCCAGCTTGAGGCAAATCAAATCAGCCAAACAGAACAATTGCATGCGTAATGCACCGGTTGGTCTCAGAAACCTCATTTCAAACTCTTTTAGTTGAGCAGGGAAGTTATTTGGGGACTTGCTCATTTGTTTTCTCATTTTTTGGGAAGGGTTTTTTTTGGCACATTCAGTGCTGCTGATCCTGTGAAGAGGTAAGGATGGCTGAGGGGGAAAATGGAATGTCAGCCTTTCTCCTCTTTTTTGGCTGTTCTCTGTGTCAACCTTTTTCCTTACATTGCTTACAACAGCTGCCTAGTAAAAAAACATTGGTAAATGGCAAAAAACCCTTATGAAGGAGGCTTCCTTTTCTTCATTAAAACAATAAATTGGGAGGCTGTGGCCCAAACTTTGTGATGAAGCATCTACAGCCTTAAGGGAGTGCTAGAGTCCACTGGCCTAAAATGTGAAAATCCTACCATTTCTCAGGTGGATCTGGATTTTTAAGCCCAATTGGCACATTATTTATAATGAGGCAAGTTCAAATTAAATAACCCCACAAGAGCTGCACACAGGACATGACACTCACACTGTCATTGTGGAGACTCAGAACCCAACTGGAAGTGGCACAGAAAGCAAAGAGGCTTAAGTAGGATGAGTGCTGCAATTCCTTGTAGCTGGCAAGTATTGGCAGCTCTGTGCTGTTCCTACACCTTGGCAGAAGCTTCTACTACTCCTTGAGAGGTACAGGCAGGAGACAAGAAAGACGGAGTGGAGGATGGATGAAAAGAAGGTCCAGGAAATGTGGAGATGGGCAAACAGACTGAGAGTCAAGAAAATAAGATTGCAACAAATCATCATAGGTTGAGATTAGGAAGAGATGACATTCCCTCGTTCCTGCCTAACCTGTTCTTAAACTCTAGTGGTGGATATTGCCCAGCCAATGTCACTAAGCAGTCTATTCCCATGCTTATTTATCCAAAGGCTTTGTTTCTGTCTAACTAATTCTTCCTGTGGTTATGCTTACTATTCCTTGTGTTTTCTGGGATAAGACCTGGGCTTGTTTAGCCTCAAAAAGACTCAGGGAGGATCTTTTCAATGTGTGTAAATACTTGATGATAGGAAGAAAAGAGGATGGGGCCAGACTCTTCTCAGGAGTGTCCAGTGAAAGAATAAGAGGAAATGGGCACAAACTGAAATACAGGAAATTACATTTAAAGTTAAGATTTATTTTTTTTCAGTGTGAAAGTGGTCCAACATTGGCACAGGTTGCCCAGAGCAGCTGTGGAATCACAGTCTTTGGCGATACTCAAACCACTCTGGGCATGAACTTGGGCAGCCTTCTCTCTCTGATCCCACTGTGAGCAGAGGGGGTGAACCACGAGCACCTTTCAACCTCCACCATTCTGTGATTCAGTGACAGTGGACAAAGAAACCAGTTATTCCTGTCCTCTTTCCAGCAATTCTTATGTATTTCAAGACTGTTCCTGTTTCCCATGAGAAACTAGTATAGAGAATCCTAATTCTTCAAATCACATATCACAGCTTCTAAAATTCAGATTACCCTTGCTTTCCTTTGGCCTGTTTTCTGTTGATAATTCTTGAAATGATTGTATCAGGCTGAATACAGTGTTCCCACTGAGGTCTGACTCATAGCACAGTAAAAGGATTACAGCACAGGTCTTACGTACAGTGTTCCTATGCATTCATTGTACACTGGATGTTTTTTAACCTTTTTGTTACTGATTTCTTGATCAATTTATGATCTAGGATTACCCCAGAACTCCTGGTTAACCAACTGTGCCTGTGTTTGTATTTATATTGCTCTTGGATATTTTTCTCTTGCCAGATATTTCATTTGTTTCAGATAATTTATTCAACTTGCCACAATAATCTCATAATGGAATCCCAATACCCAGTGGGCTTTCTGACCCTTCCAGCCTGATAAATTTACTGTGTACCCTTGTTATTGCATTATTGGGCCATTGATAAAGATATAGGATATTACCAAACTCGTGCACTAACCATTAGTAACCACTCTACAGGAGAAAATTGCCAATTATTGGGACTGTGGAGGTGTCATAGCTGGGCTGTATTTCCTTAGATATTTATGGGAAAATCACAAAGAACAGGATCAAAGGTCATATTGAGTGCAAATGCACACTGTTGCCCAGGATTTCTGTCATAAAAAAGAAAGGATGTTGATTCAATCTCACATTTTTTATGTTAACTGCTTCTTAACACTTGCTCATACTTGAAAGTACACACTTCAAGTATTTTTTCTGTTCTTTCTTTTTTTTCATTTAGGAAAAGGTTCTGACTGACCTAAAATTGTGTGAGCCTTCCTTCTGTGCCTTTGTGAAGGTCAGGATGGTGGCACAGATTCCTCAATATGTATAAAGCCATAACCTCCCACTGGTTTCACAGTCATCAGAAAACAACAATAAATCAGAAGCCCAAATACTTTTCCTACTTTCTGGGGATTTGCTTGTCCTCTGGTTGTTTTCAAAGATCTGTAGTCACTTCTCCAGGGTTATCACACCTCCACCTGGTCCTGCTGGACTGATGACACACTGTAATCTCCTGCAACAACACATGCTTGTCATTTTTGCCTTCAATAATTACTCAGAGAGAGATCTCTTCCCTCCTACACCCTATCTGCTGGAATGGTGTACATGGCAGGCTTAGGTTACCTTCAGAAATGAAATGGTGCCTTGCAATTCTTCGTGTGCCTTCCCCAAAAGAGGTAATGGACTATTTATATGTAGTTTCTAGGATATTTTAAATTTTTTTTTTAGGGATGGCTTCGACCTTTTCTCAGAAACATCTGGCAAAGCTGAGTCATCCATGTAGCTACATAACTCAGAGCTGTCATAGTGTTATAGCTCTCTGATTTATCACACATAGTCATGCAGCTAGGGTATAAAGCTGTTATAGAAATGCAGTATTAAATGGTTCAAATAGATAGATAGATAGATAGATAAAGAGATAGATGTTGAAATATAATTAAAATGTCAAACAAAGTGAAGGCATGTTGCCAGGTGTTACACACAGCTCTGATTCCACCTTGATCCACTCCAATCTTGCTTCTCACTGGCATTTCCCTCCACAAATGTAAAACCTGACTGACTCCAACAACAGTACAGAACTCCCCTGATTTGTCTGAGGTATGATTGTATATAAATTTTATTTTATTATTATTTCCAGAAAAGATAGAACTTGCTTTCCTTTATCTGCATATAAATATGAATGCAAACTCTCTCACTATGGCAGTTTAGAACATTTTACACTTGTCAATGTAGTCAGGCTCTAACACTTCTGCACAGTAGGGAACAAATGCTACCTTTATGTAAAAGGGAGGTACAGAGACCTTGTTATTTATTCAAGGACAAGGACTCAGATTTTCAGTCCTCTTCAGTTTCATGTCTATCTTCCTTCCCTGGGTTTTACAATGACCTACATATCATTGCCCAAGAAATGCAAAGCCAGCAATAAACACTTTTAGCCTGCATATAGCAATGATCATCTATTCCAGTTACTCAAGTATAGAACACATAATCTCACAGGAAAATAAAGTTCTTTTAATCTTCTGGTTTAGCCCTTTGAGAGTCATAAGAACTCTAATTACCGGTGGAGTACTAAACTGAGCATCAAGAGCTTGAGGACTGCAAGATCTATACAGGACTTTTTTATCCACATGCCACAGATGAAGGAAAAGCCGATAAGTGCTTTTTGACCTAAATTATTGCCTAGCAGCTAGAGATTCTGCTCTGGGGAGGGAAGGGTTCAGTGTCACTCTTCAAATGTCACACATCCCTACTCCTCTCTTAAGTACTGAGGTGTGTGTGCAGTGTAAATGTAGTGTTACTTGGAGGCTGAGGTTCTGCAAACATGAGTTCTGCTACAGACCCTTGGGTAGGTGTGTCACTGAGGTTTTATTATGGCTCTGTCTGACTGAATAACTTCACTGGCAGTGTTAAAAACAATCACCTCTTCAGCCATCAGCCCTGTGGTGGTGAATCTGGGTGAGATACAGCAAGGCTACAGAAGATCAGTTACTGTTCCAGCTCTTTTGGGAAGAGCCACTGGACAAGCTCCTTTGGATGGCAACCTCTGAGTGTCACCACAGGGCTCTGCTGCTCTGACACGAATTGCATTCCTTACAGCTGAAACAAAAACCAGGAGAAGCACTGCAGGACTGCCTCTGGTGTGCTCCAGTTGCTATGGGGTCTGTAGGACAGAACTAGATCTAATCTTAAATAAAGCCCCTGGAATGTGGATAGTTGAGAAGCTGGATCCTCAGTGCCAGCTGTTTACTTCTCCAAATCCTTTCCTATTCTACAGCACTGATTCCTAGTGTAGGCAAGGTTGGCTTTAGTGGATTTGTAACATAGACATGATCAGATTCTGCTTGGCAACTCAGAGTGAGTGGCACCAAAATAAGTCCTGACCCCAAGAATTCAGCTCTTTCTGTTCAATAAGGACCAGGTAAGTGCACTGTTGCTACAATTACTGTGATCTGATGTCCAGTTTCATAAACAGTGTTTTAGTAGGTTATTCTGCATCTGCAAATTCAGTTCACAATATGCTGCACAAGTGCTTGTGGCTATCCAGTGCTGGCCTGGTACAGGAATAGAAACACACAGCTGGGGAGGAGGAAAGGATTATTTAAGCTGGTTTTAGCAGTATTGTGGCTGAATGTCACAGCATGTCAAACCTTACTCTGAAAAGTTCCTTCTGGAACAATTTCTGGGGTAAGGAAAGGAGGATTTGACCCCGAGTTAATTTATTGCATAGGCTTTTGCTGCAGCTATACAGGTACATGTGCTGTTTTAAAAACACATAGAGAGAATGTTTAAAAACAATATAGAGAATGAAGTCAACCAGCATGATTAATATACGTAACTTGTATTAAAGCTTTACTAACTGAATGGAGTACTAAAGTATGTTTTCCATCACAATGTGGTAATGCTTAAACTCTGGAATGCTGAGACCACTGGCTTCCAAGCTGATCAAAAATATCTTGTTGTCTTATGTTCCATCCCTTAAACATCTCATTCTGTTGTTGACTTTGACTTTTGTACTGGTTCTAAATCTCTGGAATCTGAACTGCTGTGGCTTTGCACAGTGCCTGGCACAGTGGGGGTCCTTATCCATGACTAGAGTTCCCAGGCATGGCACTAATGTAAATGATGCCTAATAATTCATAAATATTGTATACAGCAATAAGTGCCAGGAGAACGTGGAGCAAGAGGAAAGCGGTTTTTTAAAAAAACACTTTTCCTGCATTTATTTCCATCACTTAAAACTGACAGATTTTTGCACTGAATAACTAATACATTTCCTTCTCCTCTGACAGCCAAAACCAGTGAAAAGTGACAAAAAGGAATGTATAACACTTCAGTACTTGGCAACTCTTGCTGTTCTTCAAGCCCCATTTGATGCTTGGTCTGAGCTGCATTCACAGCACAGGAAGTTACTTATGCAAAGAATGGAACACAGATATTTTGCTATTTTTGCTATTTTACCACCTAATTGCTGCAATACTAAGAAACTGAGTAGTCATATTCAGAAATAGAAACAGAAAGTACGATAAATCTTGAGGGAAAACTAAATCCAGTGAATCCTGGTAACATCAGAAAGATAACAATGTTCTTTGTTTCTATAATATTAAAATAGAAAAAAACCCCAGGGAAAGTAAAGCAACTTCCAAAATTGATTCAAATTGGTTAAATGGTATCAGAAAAAAACCTCCACTTTTAAAAATCTTTTTTTTTCTTAAATGACATTAAATTCCAGTGATCCAGAAATTTTACTGTTCGTCTTTTCTAAAGGCAAAAGTTTGGGTTGTTTGAACGTGAACTATTTTGCTCTTAAAAAAACCAACCCAAATTAAGAGTAAAGAAAGTCAGGCAAGCTCTTCCAAAGGGTAATAAAACCATCAGGCTGTTTTTAAATCTTATTTTACTGAATATATCTTCAATGAGTTGCTAATGGATTTCCATCCCATTTTTCATTAAATTTATTCTCCTCCGCTCTCAAGACACAGAGCTGAGAACTGTAGAATCACCAACAGGACAAAATTGTTTTAAATTAGATGTGAATTTTAAAACAATGAAGAACAGCCTTGGAAAAATTCTGAATTCAATGTGGCCTTGGTATAGTATAAATATATTTTAACTGATGAAGGCAGACCAACAGCACAGTAAGGAATCTCTTCATGGGCACTGGCTTGGTAGCCTGCAAAGTGCAATTTGTAAATGTAGAATAAAAGAATCACAGGCAGTCAGAACATTCTCATTTACCTTTTGAAAATGGTCCCATTGATTTGCTCTTAACAGCAAGTGCAACAGAGGGAAATCAATACATTGTCCATATTGCAGATATTAACCACGTACACATGGCTTTGAAGGGAAAAGGTTATTGTTTTCCTAGTGCCCAGTGAAATGGAATATTCCCATTGCAAGTAAGAGATTTTCATGGGGAAGGAGGAAATACCAGAGCAGCTCTTCCTTTAGAGATAGCTACAGCTGCCATATGAAACAGTTATTTCAGTGGAAAGAAAGCTAAAAATATATTCAGGCAAAAATTCTTGTGCTGATCTGCTTTCCCTGGTTTTGAGAGAGTTTTCATTTTCATGCCAAAAGCTAATGTTCATGCCAGTAGTTTTGTGTTTTTCTGTTATAAAACACAACACACAAGTATTTTCCAGAGTATTTAATATTGAAAGTACATTTGCAGGTACTTCAGAAATGTTCTAGTGGCCACTGCTGGCTGTCCCAAAGAAACCTCTTTTATCTGCTGTATTGCCAATCAGGAGACTTTTGTTCTGAGGAGGTTCCTTCTCAAAGCCAGGCTTTTCAGAGGTGTATTTAATGCATAACATAACGCCTCTAAAAAGCACACAAAAGCCTTTTCAAAAAAGTATTTCAGAAGAGGAAAGTAACTCAAGAGCCCTTCTTGCATCATAGTAGCAAAGCACAGTTAGATTAAAAACTGACAAGGTGTATGAAGGGTAAGAAGAAAGACTTCTACAGTTACTACAGCATCAAAAAGAGATGACCCAAGATTTTTCTGATGTGTGATGGCAGCTACCAGGAGCACGAAAGCCAAACAAACAAAAAATAGTTCCACGACTTCTTAATCACAGGCATGTAGAAATAAAGTTCCTCACACTCTCTACAGCGTCATTTCCAAAACTGGTGTCCTGCATCTCAGGAAGAGTTGGGTATTCGTCCAATCCATCCAATTAATTGTACTTCCAAGTATGGAGTGTTGCTAAATCCCACCTCTTCCCATTAATCATCATTTAAACTTGACATCAAGCTGAGGGCAATCAGGTAATACTGAGACAGCTTGACTAATTGTCAGCCTACGCATTTCCTCACCGCTCATTAGCCGGTGACAGTGAATTGCAAAAATGCAAAATTCATTTCCCAGTTTTTTCCCCCTGTGCTGACAGGCTCACAAAACCAGCACCCAGCTGTGAATCTATGGAAAACACACTGAATGAAAAAAGAAAACCCAAGGGGGGGGGAAGCCCTGATCAAAGCACAATCAAGGGCAAAACAAAGTCTGTCCTTGAAATCCCTGCAAGCATTTTAATGGCAACCCTGCACATTGCACTGCAACACTGAACTGCTTGGGAAACACAACCAGAATAGAGATGATATTGCAAGTGATAAATATTTAGTGAATGATAGTGCAGACTAAAGAGATGGGAACAAAAATAAAGGGGTGTGTTTTGACCCATTGAGTCTTTAAACCAGAAAAGTTCTGGAGCACATGCTCATCTTAAAAGATATTAATGTCCCATCAAACATATTTAATTTATATATTTAAAGTTATGCATGCACTTAAGTGTTTTTCTAGACTGCCTGCTCAGAACCTTCCAAAATCAAGCTCCTTCCTGGGTCTTGGATGTTAACATTCCGTAAGGAGATTTCTCATTTCTTAATGTCCTTTAGTCACATGTCTTGCAGCATAACTTATATGAGTAATACATTAATGGAGAAATGTTGTATGAGAGAGAAAACAACATTTTCAAAGAGTGGTTTGAAAGTAGTGCTGTTTTACTACTGTGGGTGGTTTAATAATAATTGGTAACTGTTTTTTATTTGTGAGTTGAAGCCTCCCCAGCAGCCCATCCCTGGGATGCCAGCACAGCGGCTCTGTCACTCACCTCCCTGGATGCAGGACGGGATGCTTTTTGTTCGTGTCCATTCCTACCTCAGTTTTGCAGAGAGTGGAACTTCAGCTCCTGTAATCAAACAGAAGCTCTGGGAGCCTGTGGACGAGCCCTCAGTAAGGCTGGGAAGGGACTGGAGCAGGGACAAGTTTGCTGGTGCGTTTCCCAGTGTTGCCTGGAGAGGGGACAGAGGGAACGGCTTGCCTTTGTACCAGGAGGTGCTGCCTTCTGCATAAACATCTAAAATGAAAATGAGTCCTGTGCTACGGTCCTGAGATTTCCTTTCCTAGTCACCCAGCGTATTAACTCCTGCCTGTTTCCACCAATAGTTACAGTCGCTCCGCCATGGGAAAAGCTGAGGGGAGATGGGGCTGAGGGGAGTGGGATGAGGGGAGATGGGGCTGAGGAGAGTGGGATGAGAGGAGATGGAGCTGAGAGGAGATAGGAAAGTGGAGTGGGCTGAGGGGAGATGGAGCTGAAGGGAGATGAGTGAGGGGAGTGGGCTGAGAGGAGGTGGGGCTGAGGGGAATTGGCTGCGGGGAATGGGTTGAGGGGAGTGGGCTGAGGGGAGATGGAGCTGAGAGGAGATGGGTGAGGGGAGATGGAGGTGAGGGGAGATGGGTGAGGGGACTGGGCTGAGGGGAGATGGAGCTGAGGGGAGATGGGGCTGAGTGAGATGGGTAAGGGGAGTGGGCTGAGGGGAGATGGAGCTGAGGGTACCTGGCTGACAGGAGCGCGCGCCCGGCCCCGCCCCTCCCAAGCCCCGCCTCCCCCGGCGCGGCCCCTTTAAGCGCGCGCGGGCGGGCGGGGCCGCGCGCCGTCACGTGCGGGGGGCGGGGCCGGAGCGGAGCCCGCGCTCGCGCCGGCGGAGGCAGCGCGCGCGCCCGCGCCCCGCAGCGGCCATTCCCGTTCCCGTTCTCCCCCTTCCGCCCCGGGGGCGCGCGCGGCGGCGGCGGCGGCGGCGGGAGCGGCGGGACGGCCCCGCGCGCTCCCCTTCCTCGCTCCCTCCTGCCCTTCCCTTCCCTTCCCTTCCCTTTCCCCGCCGGCGGGATCCGCGCGAGGATGGAGCTGTTCCAAGCCAAGGACCACTACATCCTGCAGAGCGGGGAGCGCGCGCTGTGGTGCAGCCGGAGGGACGGCAGCCTGCAGCTCAGAGCCGGTGAGAGACAGACAGACAGACAGACAGACGGACAGACCCCCGGGGCCGCGCCCGCCGCCCGCGCGGGGAGCGGGGCGGGCCGGCCCGGGACCCCTTCGGAGGGCGGTGCCGTCGCCCCGGAGCTCGCGGGACCGGCCGCGGGTGCCCCCGGGCTGCGGGAGCCGCGGCGGGTCACGCGTGTCCCGGAGCGTGTCCCGGAGCGTGTCCCGGAGCGTGTCCCGGTGGTCCCGCCTGTCACGCACCTCTCCATGTGTTGGTTTCTCCCCGAAATGAAGCGGCGCTGCCCCTGCCCGGCTCCGCTGCGGGTGTGACCCCGATCGGTCCCGGTGTCTGGTCCCGTCCTCGGGGGAGCATCGGCGGGCGCGAAGGGCCGTGTCTGGGGTGGTGATAGCCTTACATAAGGGATGCTCCCGGTGGATGGGAATTGCGTCTGTGAGCCAATGTGCCCCCTGGTCGCCTCTACCGGGAGGAACCGAACAGGTGGCTCCGCTGGGTTGGGGCTCGGTGATCGTTAAGGTCCGTTCCAACCCCTGCCAGTCTGTGATTTCTGAAGTGCTTCTGTATTTTTTAGTGGCTGTGTGATGACAATTACAATGCCCACTCTCCGTATTAATATCAGGCTGAAGAGACAGCAATGTGAACAAAAATTGAGCTGGAGTTGTGTTAATGGGAATTTTGAAACAGTGGTGGTTATCCTGTCCTGCCCGGGAGGTCGGTCAGTGAAGGTGTCCATAAAATGAAATACCACCCTTAGAAACTGTCTTGCTTTGAGTAATGTGGGCTCCCTGCCCCTGGCATGGGGCTGGAACAAGATGATCTTTAAGGTCCCTTCCAACCCCAACCACTGTATGACTCCGTGATTCTCATAGGTAGCTTTGATGTAAAGGATCACACTGACCCTGCTTCTGTGTCAAAGGTGCTCTAAATAGCTGTGGGTTTCACCAAACGTGTGGCAGGTTGCACAGATGTTACTCACAGCTTTCTAAAATTGGGATCTATGCTATGCCAAAAGCGGTTGCTGAGTGTGCATGTGGCCAGGTTGGTTGTCTGAGTGCAGTACTTTGTGAGCTTTTCTAAAAAGGCTGGACAAATTTATAGGTAAACGTCAAATGCCATTGTTATCTGTGTTTTCCCAAAGAACTGTTTTTCATATTGCACTTTCTCATGTTATGTTTTCATCCTTGAGTTGTGTCTTGTCAATGCGATGTGTTTGTTTGTGTCTCTTAGACAAAATTACAGTGTGTGTCAAGTTAGCATGACTAATTCTAGTCCATCAGCTTCACTAACCCAGCAGTACTTTGATTGCTAAGGGATCTTACAAAATACTTGATGCTAAGCTACCAAAAAGCACTGCTGGTCAATGAAATACATGCTCTCACAGGGTGCAAAAACCCCCAACCCCTCAGGTTTAGGTTTGTGATAGCTGTAGTTATCTGCATAGGCATAAAATCTCTTACTAATGAGCTGCAGTTCTGGAGACTGGTGTTCCAATGCTTTAACAGCATCAATCCCTTGTTTTCACGCAGCCATTGCTGTGTTTGTTTATTTTTCCTTGGTGTCCATTGACTTCCCGGAGGCTTTGCCAGTGCCCAGCAGTTTGTCTGTGCTGCTCAGCAGCATTTTGCCCTCAGCCTGCCTCTCCATTTTCAGCCAGTTCACATGTGATCCCTCTTGTGTGTGACCTGCAGATTAATGAAAGGTAATGTGATATTGGAGTCTCTTGGTCTGCTTGAAACTCTTGATTGTTAGTCACCTTTCTCATTCCAACGTGTTTGTAGTTTAGTTTCTCCAACCCTGTCTGCGGAGCATCTTCTTGACAGCAGACTTTAGGAGATGAAATCCCTTAGTACGTTAAATGTAAAACCAAGAAAGAAACAGTTCCCTTACAGGAAGTATTTCTTGGATCAATAGCTCTTTCTGGTATTGAGACAAAGCTGCACATCCTCAAATTTACGGTTTTATTACATTTATAATCGAGGCCACTGTCCGGAAATGAGCAAATGGATTTCTGTGTGATGAGTCACTGCCATGTTAAAAAAAACAAACAAAGTCATAATTTGTGTTCGCTGACGTGTTTAATAATCTGTCAAAAGGCTGTGATCTAACTATGTGTCTCTGCTTGTTGTTGGAGGCCTTGGTTTTATTCTGTCCCACGGAGGCTGCTCTGAATTAATCGTTGCACATTCACGGATTGAAATAGATAATACTGGTAAACCTTGCAAAATATTGCTTTATATGGTAGGTCTGAGTCTAAAGAGCTGGTGCTAAGCTTTAGAATACTCTCCTCCCTCAACTATAAAGGCATGTTTAGAAATTTGCTAATCTTAAAAGCTGTATTTCGGACCTCTTTGTATCGTGGAGATAACAGCTTGAATAAAAAAAAAAGGCAAAAAATCTTGTTAAATATTTGCCATAAGCAAAGCCTGAGGTTGGCCCTAGTTTGAAGGATGTCTGCTTGTGTTTACAAGATGTTTCTGGGTTTTTTTTTTATTCTCTAAAATGAAAGCACTAATGAGTCACCTGCAGGAAATCCATTAATCACTTTGGCATCCTGGATTTTTAAGGAATTTAGCTGTCTACAGTGTACTTTTTTCAGTGTAGTGAAAAAACACGTGTTGTTCAGCCATGCCTTAAATACCTTCCATCAGGTCTTGGTCAGGATTTCACTCTTGAATCACTCTGTGAGGCTGTTCCTGACTTGTAGTTCTACCCAGGTTATACACATACTTTTATTGATGGTGTTGGTGTAATTTATGTATTTATATTTGCCTGTGTATACATGTATAGAAAGGAGCAAAACTGTTGGAGGCATTAGATTCTTCTCAGTGATTTCTTATCAGTAGAAAAAGGAATTGAGAGTATGTTGTGTTGTGGAAACTTCTGTTATCATTGTGTTGGCTCCAGGCAGTAATGTCCTGCTAAATAAGATTGGGAATAGCTGCCACTAAAACTATTTCTAGGAGTTATGCTGATTGCCACCACCCTGGAGAAAAAACCCTGTCAGATATTGAGTGGCACACAGACTGGAATTACTCTAACACAACTTTTAGGGATGTCATGCCCAAAGACTCCACAGTTTCCTCTGCCTGTAAGAGTGAGGTGGTGTTAGAGTGTGTCTTACTTTGGAATTGTAGATAGAGGCAAATGAGAATTTGTCTGCTTTTAGGAATTTATTTTTACTGTATTCATTTTCATCTGTTGAAAGTGGTTGTGAACCAGCATCTGAAGCCTTTTAAATACTTCCAGTGAGGAACATGTTGCCAAACAGTATTTTCAGAGTATTTCAGATTTGAGGATAGGTGTCTTGGTTTGATAGTGTGATATCTTTTCTGAAATAGAAATCATAAAGCCATCTAATATTCTAGCATTTGCTTGCCTTCTCCTCAAAGGCATTACAGGAGTTGTGTAGAAATCACTTGTCAGGATTCCTGAGCTGTCCTTCATGGTTGCAGACTGGAGGAGTTCCTTTGTGTGCAGTCTGATGCCTGAAAATGCTCCAGTGAAGGCCTTGAACTAATGATGAATGGTGTAAGGAGTGAAACCGCTGCTACCAAGACATGTATTGGCAAATTTAAGGCTCCAGAGTAGTCCTGGGCATGGCTCTGAGGGGGTGATGGCCCGAGTGCTAACTCATGCTGCTGAATGATTTCATGTCAAATTGCCTCCCTGAATTTCAGCACCATGTCTTGGAAACTGCCTGTCTATTCTGGGAAACGAATTCCACAGGAGGCTGCAGCTTCAGAAAAATTCTCTCCATATTTCAAGTCGCTTCCTAAAGAACCTCAAGCTGTTTTTTTGACACCTTTTCAGCTGCACTGGTTGCTGCACTGCTTCTCACCCTTGCTTGCTCATCCTGTTCCCTCTCTTCCTGACTCTTCCCGAGTTGTCAGCACCACGTCCTCGTGGTGACAACCCAGATGTCAGAGCTGATCTGTATTAGCTGCAAGGATGTTTGCTGAAATCTTGAGCAGCTGGGTCCCTGGTGCTGCTTTCTCCTTCTTGTGCAAGAGAACAGAGGGGACTGGGGTGGGCTGCTCTATGTCCTTTGTCAGATGAAATATTATATGCACTAGTCAACGTTGTAGCTTCTGGCTGTGAGGCAAAATCTTCAAATGGATTTATGAGAGAGAAATTATTTTCTACTTTTAATAAGTAAAGGTCTACTTTGCAATTTTATCCATGATTCTTTTTACAGAGCATACTAAACCTGAAACTGAGACTTAACGTGGGTTAATGGTGTGCTACAGCCTAACCTGGTAAGAATTAAATAAATCTTGAGGTGAGGGGTTTCTTTACTTCCTTGTTGAGTCCAAGCAGATGACAAGTTGTCTTTTTTCTTCTCCTTTTCCTCCTATGAAGAGTTCTGGAAATGCCAAGCTTGTCCAAATTAAGATGCACAGATGTCTTGGAATTCCTGCCCGTGCTGAAATGGTTTTAGGTTTTAAGGACATGAAAAACTTCTCAGGCTTGATATTCTAGTGTTGCTGGTTCCTTCTTTTTTAGATTCATTAAAATGAATCTAATTCAAGTGGGTTTTTGTGCCTTGAATTTTGCTAGCAGAGGTTAGGCTCATCTTTGATCTCGTGGGTTAGTATTAACTAAATATTGAATGGGAAATTGCAGACTAACTAAAATATTTAGAACAGAAGATACTGACTTCAAATAAGAAAGGTCTGCATCTGCACCAAAGGCTTGTGTCTTTTTTTCATCTGAGAAAACTGTTATTCTTCCTAGGTTCTTTCACAGTTTAACAGTGTGGGTGGTATTTCAGTGCTGGATGTGTGAGGAAACATTAAAACTTCAGTGGTTTTAAGTTTTAAACTCTCTCTGAACTGCACGAAAAGGCAGCCATTTATTTGATATGCTACCTGTGCTTTTCCAAAACAGTTATTGTAGATTGAAATGGGATTTTTTAATGGTCTTAAACTGATACTGTTAAACATACAGGAGAGACCTTCCAGAAAGGAAGTTAATGCTGGAGCTTTTTAAGGTGAGAGTTT